AATTGCTTACATTCGTTTTCTTTAAAATGTTCAATTTACATAGTCAGATGAGTATTCAAACATATAAACCCGCACTGACAGAAGCACAATCAATAAGTGCTAGAAATCAAATACACAAACTGTGCATACCTTCTTCAATGGGTTCATACTTCAAAATAATTTCTAAGGCAGTTGTTTCAGAAGCTTCCGTTTCATATTGTTCTCTTCTGAGAAATTCAATGAGCTCAGTATCAGCTAAAATTTTGCAGTTTGGAGAGTAAGCACGGAAAAGTTCATGAAATTCCTGTCTGTGTACAATAGTTCGATAAATTGCCCTGAAGTCTTCCATGGTAATTGTGTGTGCCTTCGTTTTGTCAAGTGTTTTCTGAAAAAAAAAAACCAAACCAACCAAGCAAACAAAAAAATTAACCCAACAAAAATCCCCCTAAAACAGTCAGTACAAAGATATGCAATTATACAAAGATACAAAAAACAGTATTATAACTGATCACAAGAGTGAGAACAATAGAAAAAAACCTCAGGCAACAGTGACTGCAATGCATTATCAAATGATATTCTTCTATTTCTATATGCAACTTTTAGATTTGACATTGTGTGTTAATCATAGAAATAAAAATGTACCATATGACATAATTAGCATCTAAGCATTTACAACAATTTTTTTATATAACACATATGCAATAGTCAAACACATTATATAAAACCTCTAAAATGCTATGCAGTAAAATAAATCTGCACCATAAAATTTATTGAGTGGAAAATATATTCAATATAATACCTCTCTGACAGTAATTTAAATAAAATGGTAAATACTGTCAGCTAAATGTACATAGAACATGCAGCAAACAGTAATCTAAAAAATGGAATAAGGATGACCAAATTCTCATGAGATCCAAGGCTTCAGTACATCAAAAAAGAAACACTGTTGAAGTTTGGAAACAAGATACTTTATAATAACCTAGGACATCGTGTTCTATTCTTAACAAGCCAGAATGTTTAACTCCGATTACTTATTCACACTTTCAGCTGTAAACTGGTTTTCATAGAGCTTACAAAATGTTAACATGTTAATTAATTTCAGTGTTTCAGTATAAAAGCCACTAGAAAAATCAAAAGGGCAAAAGATTTTGACTAGAATAATACTTTTTTACCATTTCTGTTATTTACATTTTTATCATTTTAAAATTTAATTTTTAACAATTTAATTTTTAAATTTATCCTTTAAAATTTTCCCCACAAAATATGTTATTTGGCATATGAAACATACATGTTTCTAAAATTTAGTTTGCATTATTCTTAAAAGTTGCCCAATTAAGAGAAACTTTGGAAATTTAATGACAAAAATTACTCACAAAAGTAATAAATAAATAGCAATTAATTACCTCATTGATTGTCACTGTAAGATGATCAAAATTCATAATTGTTGGTTTCTTAAACTGAGACTACCCAAGTGGCTAAATTTCAGCATTTAATAACGTGGCAGCTAACACGGGTAGTAGAACTTCCTCAGAAGTGTCTATAAACAATAAATCACTTTCTTGAACTCTGGCTGCTTTTTGAGGAAGTCTTTTGATTACTACTAAGTTAGATTAGTTTTGAAGAGACACCATAAAAACTTAAAACTTAATGATACGCTACGTGGTATGGTTCCTACTAAGAGATGTCTAAGTACAGCAATTAAAAGTAAGAATATATTAAATAACTAAAACAAGAAAAAAAGTAAACTTCATGAGGAGTTCTAACCAAAAATTTTGCAAATCAGTACTGAAGTATTTGCTTTGAGTTTGTGAAAGATAATTGTAACAATCATTTTTAACATAAAACATCAGCAAGAAAACAATTCAATACAAATGCTAATAATACACATTTTATTACTGCTTGAGAAATCCCATATCTAAAGTTGATATCCTTGATCTAATCTTTGATGTCTTTAACAAAACTGCAAATTTACTCATGGCTCTTAAACAGAAAAAGAAAATAGTAACTTATTTTGGAATTAAACAACCTATCAGGACTTAGGAGATAGTCACTTAGGTATTGGCACAAAGTGAAGCTGGGCAAAAAATTAAATTTTCTGTCTATCTCAGTTACATCTTGATGGAATATGGGCCATAATAGTACACAGGAGAGCTTTTCAAGTTAAAGGTACAAAAATCATGTTGATATATAAAACAAGATTCTTAAAATATTGGTAGATTTTTATTATTCTTGTTTTTATTAATGCACATCAAATTTTTGGTATTCAGAAAAAGATGTATCTTGACAAAGACTTAGCCTTGAGAGGAATTATATGAAAACGTATTATTCCTTAAAAATATTAATATTCATAACTCATAACAACTGATGTTGCACAAAGGAGCATTATAATAAAATAACCTCAAAGAGAATAGACAAGAAAAAATCAGATTAGTGTTTAAAAACGATGTTTACTATAAAATTGATTTTGTCATGTATTTGATTAATTGTTGATGTGTCTTTACTGACCATGTCAGTAAGATTTCCTTCAGACTGCTTTGTAATTTTACATATTATTATACTAGTGACTAATCTGAGCCCCAAACCTATTGAATATACTCAAATCTCTCTCAAATAACAAAGAATACCTCACTACTGCTACAAATAACTAGTTTGCACTGTTGAGTATATTATATTGTTAAATATAACTAGATCAGACTTATTCTATGCAGGTCACTTCCTCAAATAATTAAACTTCTTTACCCAGAATCGAACACCTCTCAAATTTGTCAGAAAGAAAAGTAGATGGAAAATACAGGAAAAAAAAAGAGAAATAGTTTCAAGTTCTCATGAGATTCTCAAGGTTTGCAATTCTCTCACTACAGTGCAAGTTCAAAAACCACAGGTAGTCTCTTTAGCAAGGGTTGAGTTCGTGCTGCTGGTTTTACCTCAGCTTGACAAGGCAGAGAACAATGAGTGAAGAACAAGACAGACTGAGGAAATCTCAATGCCCTCCCTCTGTCTGCCTGCCTGCCTGCCTGTCTGTCAGCCTGATGTGACCTAAAAGTTTCTGACTTTCCCTAGTTAATTGTCCTCTGTTGAATCTAGATAGAATTAGCCAGCTGGTTACAAAATTATCAAAGAAATCACATTTGTATCTGTAGCCACTTGGCTTCATTTCCTTGGGAAAATAGCTTTACCAAACAGTGATTTTTGGTTAAAAAAAAAAAAAAAAAAAAAAAGACAGAGAGAGAGATAAAAGGAAACTTTATACTTACTAGAGGGAAACTGAAAAACATGAAAACTGTAATGTCTAAAGGCACTCATTTTTGTAGTATTTGCTCACTGGGACTGCATCCACTTGATGGTAGTTTGCTTATCTACACTAACTTATTAGTAAGTCCAGTTTCTAGCTGTGTCATGTAATCTGCATAAAAACCTCTTGAACATTGTCATATCTCAAGGCCACTGCTCTTCCCAGGGGTTAGAGTGCAATTCCCATCCATTCGGACACACGTCTTAAATACTTCAGAGGAGAGGTATAGCGGTAAATTCAATGAACATATGTGCTCAATCTATGTTGAGCTGAAGTCTGAGCAGACCAGACAACTCCATATTGTCCCCTTGGCAAAAGGATATTTAGGAAGTCACTCTAATGGCTCTGCCCAGCATCAGACAGGCATGTCTAGGCTTGTTAGCTGGATCACAGAAGCAGCTGGATGGGATGAAACCAGAAGGTTTAAATTTTTCTCAAGTGAGGTTATGTTACAAAATGTTGGGAACCAAGTCCTACATGTTTTCTGTCCCCCTACACTATTTTTTGGGGTGAAGAGATGGTTTTACTTGGGTATCATCTCTTCTCCCAAATAACAAGTGATCCGACAAGGGAAATGTCTTAATGGTGTGCCAGGGATGTTAGGAAAAATTTTTTCATGGAAAGGAATTGGAACAGGCTGCCTAGGGAAGTGGTTTAGTCACCATCCCTGGAGGTATTTAAAAGACATGTAGATATGGTGCTTAGGGACACGATTTAGTGGTGGATTTGGCAGTGTTAGGTTAATGATTGGACTTGATGATGATCTTAAAGGAAATTTCCAACCTAATGATTCTATTCTATGATCCTAATCCAACTACTCTGATATCTATTTTACACAGAAACAAAGACCTGGATGAGGCAAATTATTTGCTCATTTTGCACAAAATTAACTTCTCAAAACAGTGATTTCAATAAGTCAGCAAATATAAGACACTTATGTAACTGGACTTGCAAATGTATTTCATTGCTTAATCTACATATTCCTCACCTTGAAAACATGTTTTACATGTGCGAAATCAAAAGGCATTTGCAGTTTTTCAAGCAGCTTCATTGTACTGTCCAAATCTATCTTACCATTCCTGAACTCATTCTGAATGATGGACAAAAACCATGTATGAGAGATCAGGTTAAGGAAAATTCTGGCGTTATATCACTGCCTTTTCACAGAGGGAGGAAGGGGAGAAGTTTAATTTTTTTAAACCTAAAAAGCTTGGTTTTTTTCATACTCTAGAACATCCTTGTCTTCTGATTTCTGAGAATGCAGCCCGCTCTGAGACAAGCAAGAGACATTTTTGCTCCATGCCCAGAGACTCTGAGGGTAGAAGTGACAAAAGGGCCAGAGAATGAGAAGGGGAGGATATGAAGGAGAACAAGAGGTGCAGTAAGAGGAGGGAAATGTGGGGAGACCGAGGGGGGTCAG